TTCAGCCCAATCCCCACAGGCCAGGGAGGGACCATGGGAAGTTGACTCCAGGGCTTGTCCAGCCTGTCTCATCCAATCCCACTCCACCAAGTCTCACCCCACCAACCACCTTCTAATTAATTTCCTTTCAATGTGCACAAATCCGTGGTCACTAATCCTCCTATATAATAAAAGGCTAATATGCAAATTGACCAAACAGCATAATGACCGGTCGCTATGACATGCACTGACCACCAGAGGGCAGACGCTCAATGCAGATGCGTCCTGGTGGTCAGTAAACTCCCACAGGGGAAGCACCACTCAGCCAGAAGCCCTGAGCCAGGCTCATGGCTGGCAAACACAGTGGTGGTGGTGGGAACCACTGCCGCCTCCATGGCAACAGTCGGGGGATGTCCGACTTCTGGCTTAGGCATGCTCACCATGGGCACAGGCTGAGCTGAGGGATCTCCCTCGAGTGCATCAATTTCATGCACCAGACCTCTAGTTAGAAGTAAAAGAATAAGTGAATAAGGAAGAAATAATAACAGGAAGTGCAATTTAAAAAAGAGAGAGGGCATGAACTAAGAAGCTAAAAATGGAAATGGGATAAATAACTTGTGTTAAAACAAAAATGTGGTAAGGTCTGAGTAGATATAAATGTCAAGTAAGGTTTGGTCAGAAAAAGGAGCAAAATACAAGGCCATCTTAATAATGAAAAGGATTTTTAAAAATTTGGAGTTGAGAATTCACCTAAATTTACAGCCCTTCTGAATGTTTCTGCTATATTTTTGACACTTTTAAAAAGCATTTTAAGAATTTGCTGGGACCAGTTTGGCTCAGTGGATAGAGCATCAGCCTGCGGACTGAAAGGTCCCGGGTTCGATTCCAAGCAAGGGCATGTACCTTGTTTGCGGGCACATCCTCAGTGGGGGGGGTGCAAGAGGCAGCTGGTCGATGTTTTTCTCTCATCGACATTTCGAACTCTCTGTCCCTCTCAATTCCTCTCTGTGTAAAATCAATAAAATATATTTAAATAAATAAATAATAAATAAAAATAAAAAGCATTTTAAGAATTCCATTCATCTAAGGATACCCATGACTTACTTCTAAGTATATATTAAAAACACTAATTTTAGAAATTTTAGGAGCTTCTATTTTTAAAATTCTTGAATGTCTTCATTTTGTATGTTTTAGAACAGTAGCGTTTAGAACAAAACACTAAATAATCCATGACAGAGATGCCCCACATCATATGCAAGTGAATACTAATAAATTCACTTACTTACATCTAGGTCCACCCATTTTTACATTCTCAGGCTCTTATTAATTTTCCATAATGGAGACTCTGCTACTTCATGATAGAACTTCAATAGGTTCAGAGAGAGAACCAATTATATATATAACAATTTACTGTATTAATTATACCTGATCTGACTTGATCAATTTCGGATCAAGAATCCCATTGCAAAACAACCAACAGTAATTATGTCTTTAAGAAATGTTTTGTTTTGTTTTGTTTTTAGCCTCCTATTCATAAAAGCTATGAATTAGTAAAGACAAAATGAGCTGAAAGAATCTTTAGAAGAATTTGTTTTTTTAAAATCCTCAAATGTTGCAATGGTGGCCAGGAAAACATAATAGATAAATTTCCAAACAGGAATGGAATTTTAGCAAAATAAACTATGTGAGGTGGCCAGCTCCCTTGAATGCCAGGTAAAGTTCGATATAGCATAACACCAAAAGCATATATATTTTAGAATCAGACCAATCCAAGCTGACCTTGGAACAAATCACTTAAACTTTTTAGAGTTTCCATTTCCCAAACTATCAACAGAAATGTTTCTTACTACCGATAACGTATTTTGTTTTGGGGGTGAATGTACTTCAAATATTTATCAATGCCTGGCACATAGTAAAACTCATCTTAGTACCTTTCCTAAACAGTGCACCCTCTCATTTATTACAGGGCCAATCAACAAAATTATGTGACTTCGCACACCCCAACATTCAAGTATTAAAGAAAATATGGCAAACTGGTTATACAGGGGGGAAAATAAAGCTACAAAAGGAATGATTAAAAGAAAAGCCTGAGCAAAGGACTGAAGATTCAAATAAAGGCAAAGAGCCTCTATAACGTAGATGTCATAACATGGAGAGGATTTATTCTAGGAACTAATACCAAGAAAAATATCAATCATGATTTCAATACTAGTATTTTGAATGTGTTTGCAGTTCCTTAAAAATATTTACATTGACAATTTATTCATATGTAAGCTCCATGCGGGCTAGAAAAAGATCCAATGCTTATTTCCTGCAGCACAGCATGTGGTCTATAATAAATACTTATATAATCCAGGCCCACATGAATATTTCTTATGCTCAGTAAAGTCTATCATCCCTTCATTTACCCTTTCAACAATTATTGAGTCTACTTCTATCAGACACTATGATTAGCACTAGGATTATAATGGTGGTCAAGATAGGCTAGTTGCCTTCATGGAGCTCCCAATTCAGTAGTCTATTCCTTAAACAATATGGGTCACCTACCACAAATACTATATTCTAAAAATAAATAAAATTTTGTATTAAATTGGACAAGTGAATTCAATTAATTGTTCCTGAACAGTAATTAATACATTTGCTATATTAAAAAACCTTTTAAGTTTTCAATCAACTATGTTAGCTACAAATTCTGGGCCCCCACATTTTAAGCAGGACATTTGACAGGTGGAAAATCTAAAAAGCATACCTTATGAAAAATGAGTTTTGAGGCCAAGAAAATATTCAAAAGATATGGTAACTGTCTTTATATTTTAAAGAAGTAGCATACAGGTGTGCTCTGTATCATTTCAAAGAGTTAAACTTGAAGCAATGGGTAGAACTGTCACAGAGCTGGATTTCTGTTTCAATATGAAGAATTCTAATAATTCAATAACATCTAAACCACATTAGATTTCTTAATACTCTAAACTATATCTATACATAAATTTTCATTTAATTCTTGAAATACACACACACCACAAAACAGGTATTTTCCTGTTACAGCATAGGAAACTGAGTCTCCAAGGATCTTGCTAAAACCCAGGCAAATCAAGACTAGCCTTTGAGCCCTAGATCTAATGAAATAAGCCGACTTCAAAGCAATATCTTCCCACCTCTAGATGTATTCAGGAACACACCAAATCGCAGCTGTCAGGAATGTTAGTCAAGATATTCTCAAGTTCATTCCAAATCCAATCTTTTAGAAATACTAGTGGTCAATATAAACACCATGAATATTTCAGTCATGAATGGTCCTCTAGAAGTTAAGTTTCATAAGGGCAACGATCTTGTCTTTCTTCATTGCTATATCCCAGTCCCTAGAACAGTATCTGGCATATAATACATACTCAATAAATATTTGCTAAATATGAATAATCCTAACACATGTACCACTACTATGTCAAATAAACGAAATGCACAGCACCATTAGATAACAAAGGACCTTGTAAAGTATCCAGCAACTAAAAAGCCTACTAGACACAAAATCCATTCTTAATATTATATCCTACTTAAAATCACTATCTAAAGTCCTGAAACTTAGCCTAATCTATTTTCAAAAACAAATTCAATTAAAAGGAAAAAACACCACCATACAAACCATTTGGCAAACCTAAAATATCTTAACGAAAAGTAAAATATAAGGTCTTACAAGATGTCAAGAATGAATTTGGTGAAATGACTTTTCAGTGTTGACAGTCTGCTTAAAGCATCAATTAGCATTCTGAGAGTACTTCAACACTATGAATGAAGAGATGTATACAGCTGTTCTAGTTTAAAGATAAACTCACACCTGTATCTCTAATTCACATCACATCTTTACAAACACTTATTAGGCTGGCACTTCAAAAACATCTGCTAATTTTACAGGTACATATACTATACTGAGCCAATATAATTCACTCATAGAGGTACATTAATGAAAGAAAACTAAGACCAATAGGAAAATCACAATCAATGCAAATGTCACTCTGTAAGAGGCCTAGAGTATTCCAGACATCTTAAAGAACTTAAGAACATGAAAAATACTCAAAAGTTCCTTATAATTCAGCGTGTTTACAGGTAGTCATATATCAATGCTCACTTTTTTCTTTTGGAGAAATACAAAAAAAGGCATAATAGCTATATGAAAGATTTACTCCAATTTCACTAGGTTAAATTTACCTTTTAAAAGACTTTTAAACAAAGATTCTGATATGTAAGGGTCTACTAGTATTTTACTTTAAAATAAGTGTAAATAATAACTCAGAATAATAGTTAATGTGAGAATGTACTAGAAGATTCACTTGGTTACACTGGACTACATCAACTAGATTACATTTGCACGTAATTAACAACTGGGTGTCATAGAAAACCAACAACCTTAAACACACACACACCAACAATCTTTGTCATTTTTCTACTTTTTGAAATAATGACTGAAAGACTGCGTAAGAAACTATACCACCAAAAATACTGCAAAATGAACTCTCTTGTCTTCAAGAATTTAGAACTATAAGCTTTTTTCCCATATTAATTCACTTTACAGAAAAGCTCCTTTCCCATCATTGACACACTATCTACATCTACATGTACATCGGACATCATCACGTGACTCAAATCCTCCTTTATAATCCTTAGTCCCTAAACTGCAGTGCATTCCTATCTTTAACAAGGAAACCTCTCCAGAAGGTTTTCCAAAAAAAAAAAAGAAAGAAAAGTATGACAAGTTAAACAAGCTCTAGGTTTATCCAAGTGAACTGTGCCGGAAAAACAAAGAGCAGTTGGGAGAAATCGGTTGACATATTAATGCAACAAGTTTAAAACTTTGAACCCTTCCTTGGGAATCAGAAAAAGGCTCTGTGGACCTGTTGCTCTGTCCCTCCAGCCCCCCCTCCCCCCAAAAGGCATCACGGGCGCCCCGGTGGGGAGGGTGGCCTGGTCTCGGGGGAGGGGTCTGAGAGCCCAGGTGCCCCCCCGCCCCCGGGCGGCCGCCCGCTCACCTGATGGGCGGGCTGTAGGGGCTCCGGGAGCGCCGCCAGCTGCTGCTGCTGTAGGGGCTGGGGGACACGTCGCCGCCGCGCTCGTACGAGCTGTGGCGGCTGTAGCTGGGCGAGCGGCGGCGGCTGTAGGGGCTCGGCGAGCGGCGCCGCGAGTAGGGGCTGCCGCCCCCCGCGGGGCTGGGCGACTTGCGGCTCCGCAGGCCGTGCGAGGCCCGGTGCGACACCGGGCTGTCGTCCCGGCCGCCCAGGGGGCTCAGGGAGCGCTGCCGCCGCCGGTAGGCCTTGGGCTCGGTCCTGTCCTCGCGGTAGGCCTTGGGCGGCTCCTTGTAGGCGGAGGGCGGCTCCTTGGACGACTTAGTCCGGCTCCGGCGAGCCTTGGCGTCGCGGTCCTTGCGGCCGCTGCTGCTGCTGGACGTGGCCGAGGCGCTCTTGCGGCGGCCGCCGCTGCTGCTGCTGCTGCCGCTCTTGGCGGCCTCGGCCCGCTCCTCGCCGCCGTGGCCGTGGCGGCTGCGGGACTTGGAGGCCTCGCCGCCGCCGCCGCCGCCGCCGCTGCCCGCGCGCTGCCCGTCCCGCCGCCGGTGCTCGCGGTGGCGCTCCTTGCTGCGGCCGCTGCTGCGGCGGCGGTCCCGGCGGGGCCTGCGCCCGGACCCCGACCCGGAGCCCTCCCCCCGCCGCTGGGTGCCGGAGGAGGAGGCCGGACTCCCGCCGCTGCCCCCCGTCCCCCCGGCAGCCGCGGGCGCCGCTGCTGCTGCTGCCGCTGCCGCCGCCGCCGAGGCGGGGGCCGGGGCCGGGGCCGCGGCCGCGCCGGCGCCCCCCAGCAGCAGCCCCTGCTCGGACTGCGAGCTCACATCCTCGTACTCCACCAGCGGGGTCACACCCCCGCCGCTGCCCGCGCCGCCCCCGCCGTCCTGCTGCGGCTGCGGCAGCGAGAAGACCCGGCGCTTCTCCGCCTCCTGCCCGGCGCGGGGCCCGCGGCGCCGCTTCTGCCGCCCTCCGGGGCGCCTCTTGCCTCTCGCCAGCCGCTTGACCTCCAGAGGGGGGCCCGGGCTGAAGCAAGAGGAGGAGGCCGCGGCGGCGGCGGCGGCTGCGGCGGCGGCGGCCGTGCCGGGGGCAGCCAGGAAGAGCAGAGGCGGCGGGGGCGGCGGCGGTTGCAGGAGCTGCGGCTGCAGGAGCGGCAGCAGCAGCGGCGGCTGCTGAGGGGACAGGAATCGCCTCCGCTTGCGGCGTTCCTCCAACTTCTTCTCCGCCCAGCTCAGGCCCCCGCCTCCCCCCAGCGCCGTGTCCGAGCTGCTCGGCATCGCCTAGGGCTGGCCGCAGCGGAGCGCGGCGCGGGCGCGGCCTCGTCCTCCCCCCGGGTCAGACCCCGGCCATCGCTCCCGCCGGAAACGGGGCCGCAGCGGCGGCGGCGGCGGCGGCGGCGGCCGCACACGGAGCACCGGGGCGGGTCGGCAGGCGCGGCCACGATAATCCGGGTCGGGACGCGGGTCCCCGGGTTCCAGGTCACCGTGGGGTGGCAACGCAGCGGCCTCCAGGCCCGAGGAGCAGCGAGGATCCGGGCGAGCAGGCAGGCAGGCAGGCGACAGGCGGGCAGGCGGAGCTCCGGAGTCCGCGCCGCCGGCCGTCCGGTCCCGAGCGGCACACACAGCCGCGGCGCCGGGCGCTGACCTGCGGGGGGCGGTCCCGAGTCCTCCAAGTGCCCCCGGGGCTCGGGGAGCGGCCTGGGCCGCGCTCGGCTCCCGCGGCGCAACGCGGAAGTACCACCTCCGTCGTCGTCGCTTCACTCCATCGCGCCCTGACGTTGGGTGCGAGTTCAGGGGAGGAGGGGAGGAGAGGGGAGGGGGCGAGACAACAACACGCCTCCTCCGCCGCCGCCGCCGCCGCCTCCTCCTCCTCCTCCGCGTCGACGTCGTCTTCCAGGGGGTGGCGGTGGCGGTGGTGGCGACACACGGCGGGCGCCTCGGAAATGGCTGGGTCTTGACAACTCCCGGCCTAGGGCCTCGCGCACTTTGCGGCCCGCAGGGGCGAGGCGGCGGCGGCCGGGCTGCGGCGGCTCTCGGTCGGGACAGCGAGTGTGCGGAGCCGGGCGGGGGCCCGTTTCCGGGGCGATGGGGGCGGAGGGGGTTGTGAGTCCGCGGCGGGGTGGGCAGAGGAGCCCCGGACTTTCTCCTTCCTTCGCCGGCGCGAGCAGAGGTGGCGGCGCTGCCCCCTTTCCTCTCCGCTCCGCCTCCCACGAGGAGGTTTCTGGGGTGTGTGGCCGGGTCCCGCTTCGCTCCTCCCCTTCCCTCTCCGCTCCCCCGTCGTCAGGCAGGGGGAGGGCCGCGGGGCTCGGTGGTTGGGCCCTAACCTTCACAACCCCTCCTTCTCGCCCCGCTCCCTCGGCCTCTCCCCGGGCCCCCGACGCCGGGCCGGGAGCGCGCACGCAGGCCGCGCTCCGAGGGAGCCGGAGGGGAGTGGGTGCCGGGGGGCGAAGGAGGCGGGAACAAAGCGGCCTCGCACCCGGCGGGCTCGCTCCCGCCAGCGTCGGGCGCCCCGACCGGATGTGACGCAGCGCGCGGACTTCCGGCGGGGGCGAGCGTGCGTGAGAAGCGGGGTGAAAGAAAGGAGAGGCGCGGCGCGCCGCGCCGCCCACCGCCGTGGGCCGCGCCTGTTGCTGACGTCCGGGGTGCAGGGCCGGCCCCGACCCTCCCGCAGGCGCCGCTCCGCCCCCCCGGCCTGTGGAAAGGTCAGGGCGAGAGACCAGAGCCTGGAGGCTCGGGCAGGAATAAAGAATGCCGTTCGTAGGCCTTGGGGCTCGGTAGTCACCCATCCTCTTCCCCCCAAAGCCAGCCCCGGGGTGGGGACGGCTGGGCTGAACAGCCAAGGGGAGCGAAGGTGGCGTTCACTTCCGTGGCCTCACGTACACCCAGATTCAAGGCCGCATCTTCACCTGAAAGCACACTTGGAAATCACTGTGTCTGGCTTTGATAAACGCTTAAGTTTACTTTATTAAAAAAGAAAAGAAAAAGCCTTAAAGTAATTCTGGGGAATAAGTGAAACGTCAAAAGGGGCCGTTGGAAACTGTCAGGATTATTACCAAGGACCTTGAAGTCAGAACATCCTGCTCAAATGAGGACTGCCCTCTCTTACCTCTTCACCCACTTTCTCCTTAACGTCGAAATCTGTGGGGCTGTCAAAAAGTAACCGTTCTGGAACCTCACGTCTCATTTGTTGTCTTTTGCGGGGGCGGGGGAGGGGGGGTGTACGATTTTTTAAAATATACTTTTATTGATTTTAGAAAGGAAGGGAGGAAGAGAAAGAGATACATCACTAATGAGGGAGGATCCCGGATTGCTGCCTCCTGCACACCCCACACAGGCAGATCAAGGCTGTAAACCCTGGCATGTCCTTCTGGGAATCAAACCATGACCTCTTGGTTCATAGGTCAAGCTCAACCATTGAGCCAAGCCAGTAGGGTTCATTTCCTGTCTTGCCAGGCTTGTTTTTTTATTTATAACTAGAGGTCAGGACAGCAAGTGTGCGGAGCTGGGGGAAATGGGGGTGTCCCTCAGCCCATCCTGCACCCTCTCCAATCTGGGACCCCTCCAGGGATGTCCGACTGCCTGTTTAGGCCCAATCCCAGTAGGGGGTGATCAGGCTGGCAGGCAGATCACCATCCAGGACTGTTGGCTCCCAACTGCTTACCTGCCCGCCTTCCTGATTGCCCCTAACCGCTTCAGTCTGTCAGCCTGATCACCCCCTAACCACTCCCCTGCCAGCCTGATTGATGCCTAACTGCCAGTCTGTTTGCCCCTAACTGCCCTCCCCTTCAGGCCTGGTTACCCCTAACTGCCCTTCCCTGCAGGCCCGGTTGCCCCCAACTGCTCTCCCCTTGCAGGCCTGAGACTCCCCTCCCCAAACTGCCCTTCCCTGCAGGCTCAGTCGCCCACAATTTCCCTCCTTTGCTAGCCTGGTCACCCCTAACTGCCCTCCCCTCAGGCTTGATTGCTCCCAACTGCTCTCCCTTGCAGGCCTGGTTCCTCCCAACTGCCCTCCCCTGCTGGCCATTTTGTGGTGGCCATCTTGTGTCCACACGGGGGCATCCATCTTTGACCACATGAGGGCAGCAATCTTGTGTGTTGGAGTGATGGTCAATCTGCATAGTACTCTTTTATTAGATAGGATTGGACACTTCGAATAATTAGGTTAAAAATATAAATAGCTTATTGGCGTTTAATATGATTTGTTAAAAATAAAATTTAAGTCCATTCAATTGGCTACATGAAGTCACCCCTTTGCAGATTTTTGTGTTCAGACCATTCGGTTCATAGTTCTTAAACATCTGGTATCGATCCCTCATTCATACCTTAGTCTAAATAATTTTAATTAGATTAACATCCACTAACACTGTACCTCAAACTGGACTGATCTAAGAGCAGGCTTAAATGAAAAAAATGAATACAAAGGGTATTTGTTGCTGAAAGATAAAAGAGGAGCAAAAGAATCCATAATCTAGAAGTCAAAGCATTTCTTAAGAGGGTAGGCCTAGGTGGGCTACATAGTGCCACCTACTATGCAACCAAAAGGAAGTGGTAACTGAAATGCTAGGGGCACAATGCCTAAAACAAGTTTCTCCTTGGCTGAGAATTGCTGAGTAGAGGTCCTATACAGCCTCCTGCTAAAGACTAGTTAGCAAGGTTTTTTGTTTGTTTAATTTCTTGTTTTAAAAAAGATCAACCTGCCTTATCATTCTACTTTGAAAAGCCTGATGTAACAGAACAAGGAGCAAATATAAGATTTATCTAGAAGTTCTTCACATCTATAACCAATTCCACTTGAGAAATCATCTTTTTCTTTCAAAGAAAACTTGATCCTTAGTAAATGGATAGAAATTTGCAAACATTACAAACAGAAAACATGTATTAAAATATCTTTAGCCAAGACTGGTTTGGCTCAGTGGTAGAGCGTCGGTCTGAGGACTGAAAAGTCCCAGGTTCGATTCCAGTCAGGGGCATGTATGTTGGTTGCGGGCACATCTCTGGTAGGGGGTGTGCAAGAGGCAGCTGGTCGATGTTTCTCATCGACATTTTTAGCTCTCTAGCTCTCTCCTTTCCTCTCTGTAAAAAATCAATTAAAAATATATTTTTTAAAAAATATCTTTAATGGGGGTTTTGCCAGCTACATGTTTCCACAAAGAATCAATCTTGGGGGTTATGTGGAGAAAAGGAAGAAATGAAGCGTTTTGAGCTCTGACAAAATACTTGACCACATGCACAGATATGCTAATAGGATTTGAACTCCCAAAATGAGAAAGATTTTTAAGGTAGAAGCCATCTTATTTTATTTTTTATTTTTAATGCATTTTATTGATTTTGTTTACAGAGAGGAAGGGAGAGAGATAGAGAGTTGGAAACATCGATTAGAGAGAAACATCCATCAGTTGCCTCCTGCACATGCCCTACTTGGGGTGTGCCCACAACCCAGGTACATGCCCTTGACCGGAATCGAACCCGGGACCCTTCAGTCCACAGGTTGACGTTCTATCCACTGAGCCACACCGGCCAGGGCTTATTTTATAATAGGCTTGTGTAGTTGCCTTCATATAAAGAGATTTGAAATTGTCACTTGGGACTATATTTTAGTATTTTGCTGGTTGTCTCCTGGTTTTAAAAACAGGTGGTAAGTTTTTGGCTTTAACAGGTCATATCAGCTATTCTTAAAGTGTATTCTGAAACTAAAACCTTTTCAATTAATAGCATAGTCAAGACTATAACATTATGATTTGTCTTTTTCCCTCTCATTCTTTCACAAATGTATAGTGGACTTTTCTGGAGGCAATATAACATCATCATTCTAATGGCTAATGGAATGTGTGCTTGTGTGTTCACATGTTTTCTAGAATGTTCTAGGTATCGGGTTTCTGAAGTGAACCAATATTTTCCACGTGAGTAATGAATATTACAAAAGCATGAGTAGGCTATCATGCTCAGAGGTTAGAGCATTGGCCCACCACACTTGAGAGTTGAGGGTTTGATTCCCGGTCAAAGGCACATACGTGGGTTGCAGGTTTGATCTTGGGCCTGGTTGGGATGCATGCTGGAAGCAGCCAATTGGTGTGTCTCTTTCACATCGATGTTTCTTTCTCTCCCTCTCCCCCATCCACTATCTCTAAAAAATGGGGGGGGGGGGGGGAGGAATATCCTTGGGTGAAGATTAATAACAAAAAAGCATGAATAAAAGATTCATTCAAACTATAAGACAGATTGTTTCTAATTTAACAGCACAAAAAGTTCCTTGATATAATTTCAGAGTCCACTTCACA